GGGCTTAATCGAGCCTCCCACCTCAGCCTCCCAAGTAGCTGGGACCACAGGCAGAAGCCACCATGCCTAATTTTTTGAAATTCTGTCGAGATGGCATTTTGCCATATTTTCCAGGCTGGTCTTGAACTGTGCTCAAGTGATCCACCAGCCTTGGCCTCTCGAAGTGCTAGGACTACAGGTGTGAGCTACTGAGGCTGGCAGAGTCATTTTTTTTCTTTTTACTTTAATAAAATAGACAGGATCTAGCGGTAGCTGGGAATTACCGGTGCCACCACACCTGGCTCAGCTGTTTGTTTATTTGTTTAATTTTGAATCAGGGTCTCACTCTGTTGCCCAGGCTGGTCTCCCACTCCTCACCTCAAGTGATCCTCCACGCTGCTCAGATGACAGGCATGAGCCATTGCAACCAATTGTTTTTACTGCTGTGTTTCTTGGTTTTTGGTTTTCTGGGATAGAGTCTCACTCTGACACCCAGGCTGGAGTGCAGTAGTGCAATCTCGGCTCACGGCAGCTTCAAACTCCTGGGCTCAAGCAATCCTCCCCTCAGCCTCCTGAGTAGCTGGGACTATAGGTGCGAGCCACCACACCCGGCTAATTTTTGTATTTTTTGTAGAGATGGGGTTTTGCCACATTGCTCAAGCTAGTCCCAAACTCCTGAGCTCAAGTGATCTATCTGCCTGCCTTAGCCTCCCAAAGTGCTGGGATTACAGGCATAAGCCACCACACCCAACTTGTTTTTACTCTTAAGTGTCTAGCACCTAACATAGGACCAGGCATAGGTAGATAGTAAATATTTATGAATTGTACAAATGAACATAAAACTAAAGAAATATTAAACAGAACATTTTATTTTTTTCTTTTTCTAATTGTTTTTGTTTTTTGAGATAGGATCTCACTTTGTCACCCAGGCTGGAATGCAGTGGCACCATCTCAGCTCACTGCAACCTTTGCCTCCCAGGTTCAAGTGATTCTTGTGTCTCAGCCACCAAAGTAGCTGGGATTACAGGCATGCACCACTGTGCCCAGCTAATTTTTGTATTTTTTGTAGAGATGAGGTTTTGCTATGTTGCCCAGGCTGGTCTTGAACTCCTGGCCTCAAGAGATCTGCCCACCTCAGCCTCCCAAAGTGCTGGGATTACAGGCGTGACTCACTGTGCCCAGCCAACATTTTCAATTTATAATTTCAACCTTAATGAAAATGAAATTGCTGGTTAGGAAAAGTGGCCAACATTTCATGCTCAGAAGACTCTGAGGTTAACAATTTGCAAATAAACAAGATCTCAGAAAAGCTGCAGTCCCAGCAGAAAAAGACGCCCTTTGCACTCTGGTTCTAGTATCGTAAGAAGCAGACAAAGTGGCTGGGTGCGGTGGTTAATGCCTATAATTCCAACACTTTGGGAGGCCAAAGCAGGTGGATCACAAGGTCAGGAGTTCGAGACCAGCCTGGCCAATATGGTAAAACCCTGTCTCTGCTGAAAATACAAAAATTAGCCGGGTGTGGTGGCGTGCGCCTGTAGTCCCAGCTACTCAGGAGGCTGAGACAGGAGAATTGTTTGAACCCAGGAGGCAGAGGTTTCAGCGAGCCAAGATCGCGCCACTGCACTCCAGCCTGGCAACAGAGCGAGACTCCGTCTCAAAAAAAAAAAAAAGTAGACAAAGTGTGCTAAGACCTGCAAGGGCTACCAGAGGGTCCCACCCCAGGCTGCACCCACCTGAGCCTCACTGAAGAGACATGAAGGGCTAGGCCGAGCTGCCAGGAGCCTGGCGTGCTTGCAGGAGGCCCCAGTTCCATCTTTGGCCCCTTTATTAAAAGCCATGTGACCTCAGACGCATGACTCAACCACTTGGAGCCCTGCCGCAAACGGGGTTATAAATTCTCGTCTCACAAGGTGGCCACCTCGTGGTACCAAGAAAGACAACCCAGGAAGGTGCTTTTCAAAGCACAGAAACAGGGTGCAAGTGTCACTGGTGGGTGGAAAATCCCTGCCAGCTGCTTCTAGAGCCATGAGGGAACAGGGAGTGCTGTGGAGTGTACTTACTCTGGGTGTCCAATTATGGGACTTACACTTCCAGGGGAAAATCCAATCTCCCCTAGGATCTAAGGAAGTAATTCATAAAAACTAAGTCATTCCTCAAAAGCATCCCCTGTAAAATCCAGAACCAGGAGAGCACTGTAAGAGACTCCAGCTCTCATGTTACTCACCGTCCCCAGGCAGCTCCGGCTCCTGCAGGAAGGCAGGGCCCAGGGTCCACTCAGGACAGGGCTGGCCTGTGCTGGGCCTGCAGGACGCCAGGCAGGAAAAGGCGGGAGTGGCCAGAAAAGCAGGCAGGCCCAGGATGTCTGTCAGAGGCTGGGTCTGTGGGGAAGGCATGACCGGGCGGGATGCGAAGCCCAGCGCACAGGTCCGAGATGGTTTGAGGGCAGCTGCCAGCTACCCCAACAGGACTGCACACTCACAGGGGCCACACTGCCCCAGAGTTGTCAGCGACAAAGACTCACCCCAGGGGCACCAGGAAGACCTGCCATCGACTCTGAAAAGTGTGGTTATTACAACATCACGTTCAGTGGTTCAGTATGTAGCCTAACATTTCTTTTTTCTTTTTTTTTTGATAGAGTCTCGCTCTTGTCGCCGAGGCTGGAGTACAGTGGCATGATCCCGGCTCACTGCAACCTCTGCCTCCCAGGTCCAATTGATTCTCCTGCCTCAGCCTCCCAAGTAGCAGGGATTACAGGCGCCTGCCACAACGCCTAATTTTTTTTTTTTTTTTTTTGAGGCGGAGTCTTGCTCTGTCACCCAGGCTGGAGTGCAGTGCAGTGGCGCAATTTCGGCTCACTGCAACCTCCACCTCCCAGGTTCAAGCGATTCTGTCTCAGCCTCCTGAGTAGCTGGGATTACAGGCAAGAGTCACCACATCCAGCTAATTTTTGTATTT